ACTCGCAAAACTGTGAAGTTAAAACTTGATGGCATGGCAAAGACAACAAAAGAAAATCTCTGCAAAGAATTCTTAAATGTTACTCATGTTGCAACAACCACGGACTGTTGGAAATCCAGCGCAAAGTCCTATATTGGTGTGACAGCGCACTGGTTCGGCAAAGATCTTAAAAGGCAGTCGGCAGCTCTGGCTTGTAGACGCCTTCGTGGCAGCCATTCGCATGCTTTGTTGGCAAATTCTCTTAACGAAATTCATTCAGAATATGGCATTCGTTCAAAGGTTTGTCGTACGACGACTGACAATGGTTCTAACTTCGTGAAAGCTTTTAAAGTGTTTTCTGGGACTGAGGCAAGTGAAACTGACGGAGTTGATGATGACGATGACGATGCAGACGAACTGATGATGAAGATGATAGTCATGAATTTCACGGTGGGATTCGAGCCTACGACCTTTGGAACACTAGCCCAATGCTCTTCCAACTGAGCTACGTAGTCAGGACGGTTCGAACCAACTGAATATCATATTCACCTGAGTACACTACACCAACACAGAAAAAATTCATATTACTAGAATACATTGGTATTGAAGGAACTAGATTCTGTTCCGAAATATCACTTACTCGAACCGTCCAGACCACGTAGCTCAGTTGGAAGAGCATTGGGCTAGTGTTCCAAAGGTCGTAGGTTCGAATGCCACCGTGGCCGGGCATATTTTTCAAGCTCGCCCGATGTGGATATGCACTCAGAGTAACACCACAAATATCATAGTATATCTCAATGCCATTAGTGAATAATTTTTTGTCTAAAATTGCGAATTATTTCGTTTGCACTGCGTATTAAATTATGAAACCCTTCAAATGCTTGCCAAAAATACACTCTCGACCTTCTCCATATTCAGACAAGTAAAATTGCATTGTTTTGACTGCGTTTGATGTTTAATTTTAATTGTAAATTCACAAGTTTGCCTTTGTTTCGCCCTTCAGTAAACCGCCATTTTGAAATTATTATCATTACGTCATTTCATCTATACGCTGTCGCCGATTGGTTAGAAGCACGCTTACAAACTTCCGGTACGCGCACGATAGCAATATATCTGCATTCGCAGATACAAAAAGCTTGCGATGAAGTTTGAACAAGCTCAAATCGTCCGCAAGCCATCGCAAGTTAACGCAAGTTGGTGGTCAAACGAGGCACAAGCAAGTGCAAGTTAAAAGTTGCGATGACTTCGATGATCTCGTTTGATCAGGGCTTAACAAATAAGTCGTTTGAAAGCGGACTGACATGAAATATTGCGTTTTCTTGTATCCAGTCTCTTTGGCCGAGCTATGTATCGTTGAGATTTCGATTGGGGGCAAATAATTAGGCTTCAGGAAGGTTTTTTATAGAGGGGGCGATCAAACTTTATTTTGTGTTGCACACGCATGACTTTTCTCAGGCTTTCAGTTACGATCTTATTTACATGCAATACATATATTGGATTTCAACGATGGAAACGATCGACAATATCTTGAATAATTCAGGTAAGGATGACTTTATTTCTTTCTGGTGGTATACGGGAAGGCATTTAGATTGGTTAAACTTGCTGTTTATAGGTTCGATATATTGGTATTGAAACAATCAGTCAATCACCACTACTCACTAGTTTTAATAGCCCACTGATCGTCTTTATCTCAAAACAAGGAATCAAAATGTACTTTAAAGTTTATTTGTTTATGTGTGTGGCGATGTGTCAAGGCGATGAGTTATTGTTTATAGAGTTCATTCTAGATGTTTATAGATATGTGTAGCGGGATCCGGATGACTTTCTGTCGTGTCGGCAACTTTTCAATTTAGTCTAGGACATGTACTGAGTTTGTATGCATTTCATTTAGGACAGATAATTTAAACTGTTTTGCGGGAAAGTTGACCATGACGGTCGACATGGTAACGCTGCCCGAACCCCAATCCGGGGCGAAACGTCCGAAACTGACCACACCCAAAAACGACGCTTTCGCCATACAGCTATCTACCACACGGATCCAAACCATAAAAGCTTTGGCTAGTCGGAGGTGCTTTTATGGTTCAGAGATGGTGCTTCTAGGGGTGGTCATTGGTAAGTGTGAAATCCCTAGTACTGATATTTCACAAGAAAATGACCATGCAATACTCATAGTTAGTCAAACGTCAATTTGTGACTTAAAAATTCAGATAAACGGCAGTGGACCTACATTACCTTTTTTCCTAAATCTTTTTTTTATAGAAACATAATTGGTACTTAGGCCCGTTTTATACGTCGAATTTCGGTCGCGTCGAATGCAATTCAAACAATAGATAATGAAGCTTAATGAGGTTTATCATCTCATTATCTATTGTCTTAATTGCATTCGACGCGACCAAAATTCGACGTATGAAACGGGCCTTACTTAAGTATACATATTATCACTGCTTTGCTGTAAAATAGTTAATACTTTGTGACCGAAATAATAACTTGAAATGTACCTACCTCCTGCAAATGGACGTATTTGGCCAAATTCTCCACTTTACTCCGCTGTTTATCGCCGATCTCGTTGAAATCCTTCCAAATATGTACAGTAGCTTAGATATAATGGTATCACGCACATTTTAAACAAGTTTTAGATAGGTTTCAAGCAGATCCTAGCTGTTTAACCATCGACAAGATAAAACCGCAACTTTGTCCAATTCGGCGCCATTTTGTCATCCCATGTCGGTTGGAAACAATTCGGCCTTTTGTTATTCTTCCATCCAAGCCATTTTGATTGCACTAATAACAAATTTAACCCTTTGTTAAGGGTATCAAAATAAATATGTAAACAAAATAGAAAAAATACAGCATTTTATCGAGATAATCTAATTGTCGCGGCATGCGAGTAGCGACTCAATAGCGCGAGGCGCGACTCGAAAGCGCGAGATGCGACTATGTTGGCGCGACTAGAGGAAAAAGGCACGACTCGTGGAAAAAGGCGCGACTCGCGAAAAAAATTATTGCGACAAAAATGCTATGTAATTGTTTGTATGATCGATGGTCTAAATTTAGGACAAATCAAAGTCATAAGGGACACATAAATATTTACAACTACTGAGTTTATTATGTTTACAGTTTATAACTTTGTTAATAAAACTAGTAGCAGAAAAAAAATAGGACATGTCAGGTAAGAGATACAGGCAGGTCAGTGCATGAAATGTTTTACGATAAACTGATTATATTTGCTTGCAATCAATGCTTGTAAATTTTGCCTGTTAATTAATTCCCTCATGATTATTTTCAGTTGTTAAAACCCAGCAGGTAATTTCCATGGGTGGCAGGGGACACGTGAAGGGCAAAAGTGTTTGGAGCAGTCGTGTTTGCAAGGCTAGCCGATTTACATTTGGACGTATAGAATAATTCATCGTTACTCGCCACCAGTCACCGCCATCTGCAGAAAATACCTGCCGGTTGAAACCCATTATTTGTTGTTTGCAATAGTTGTTGACTTGTTGACATATTGAAACGGTACATGTACAATGAATTTTCGCAGTTTAATTACAACTATAACATATTATTATAATATGAATATAGTTTGAAGGCATACTACATTACATATAATAATATACGTAGTGAGATAACTACTGAATCCAAAAAACTGGTAGCTCAGAGTTATGCCAAGCAACAGATTAAAGTATACTGGTTTAAAAATACGATACAAATCTGGAGCAAAAAACCGTGGTAAAACTAAAAGTTAACTTGCTTAACCTTTTTGACGAGTCGCGCCTTTTTTGAAGAGTCGCGTCTTTTTTCACGAGTCGCGCCTTTTTTCACGACTCGCGCAAATTTAATTAGTCGCGCCTCGCGCTTTCGAGTTGCGCCTAGCGATATTGACTCGCTACTCGCATGCCGCGCCAATTAGATTATCTCGTTATAAATATGTCAGATTCTACAAGGGTTTAATTAACGCTGAAGTAATGGATCTAAAAACCGCATGTTGAAATATTTGTGAGCAGATTGATGGTAAGACTGAGTGCATGCGTACTACTTTTATGTAGTCTAAACAAGGCAGCGTTTTAGATTTAGGCCCGCGGTGAACGGCGAATTTCGCCGCTGACTAGATAGATAGAAAGATAGAAAACTTTATTTAACCACGCTAACCCCGTCAACAGAAGCGGATTTCCACAGGGAGCGTGTATAGAAGAAATTACAGAAGTATAAAATTTAGAATAATTATTTACAAAATATTAGAAATAGTATTAAATAGGTAAAGTATAGTACCGGTACTTAGTAAGTTAGTCTGCGGGAACATCTATTTACAATTACTATTAATGTGAGTAGCGATTTTATTCCTAAAAGAGGCAAAGGATTTGCTTTCTCTAATTCCCTTCGGAATAGAATTCCAAAGGTAGGCTCCGTCATACATGAAACTCTTTTTCATGTTATTTGTACGCGGTTTAGGTAAGCAAAGACTACTCGAAATATCCCGAAGATTGTAGTTTGTCATCTCACCTTTATATGTGAAAAGATTAGTGAGTGACTCCGGACCCATTCTATTTAATATTTTGTACATTAATTTTGCTTTAGCTTTTTGTCTTTCCGTTTTGAGTTGCACCCAGCTCAATGCTTGTAAAGTAACAGAATGTTCTGTGTCATTGCTCATATTCATGATAATTCGAGTAGCTCTATGTTGGAGTTTTTGGAGTCGCTTTGATTGTGTTTCCCCAAACACATCCCATACTTCACAACAATAATCGAAGTGTGGCCAAACAATTGCATTATATACAGAAATAAGAGTTTGTCTATCAGTAAACTCTTTTAAACGCCGAAGAGCCGATATTCCTGCTGTTACTTTCTTATATACAAATATTGTCAGTATTACTTTTCCAAGACAAATGCTGGTCAACTGTCACTCCAAGAGTTTTACATTCGTAAACTTGTTTAATTGGTTTGTTTTCAATTTCAATATTAGGTTGTGAATTTGAAACACTTTTGATCATTGGCTTCGAACCAATTAACATAAATTCGGTCTTAGCTACATTTAGGCTAAGTTTATTGGCAATTAACCATTTTCTAAGGTTTTCCAAATCAGAGTCGACTGCAGTCTCAAGGTGATGTATAGAATCTCCGGTAGCGGTTAGATTTGTGTCGTCAGCAAACAACCGAGGTTTTGTATTATTTACACATTGAGGCAAATCATTAATATATATTAGAAAGAATAGTGGCCCAAGAATAGAGCCTTGTGGTACGCCACATTTGATCGATTTTCCTGATGAAATGGATCCTTTTATTTGGCATTTCTGTTTTCGATTTGTGAG